AGAGAAAAGGTTGGTGCGCCACTGATCGACCTCGGTGGTGTGAATGCCGCGGTCGGCTTCGTCCGTCTTCATGCCAGCTACTGCCTTGCGAATAACATATAAGAGAATGCCGTGGTTAACGTTCGCATTGAGAGCGGACAGAACATCCTGGTATCTCGCTGTGTAGTTGGAAATAACCTCAAGAAGCGCGAGGACAATGGCCTGAAGCCAGAGAGGCACCTGGATGGATCCATCAGCAGGAGGGTGGATGAGTTCGGCCAGCTGGTAAACCAGTTGGTAACGCCGGGTCTCGTCATTGTCATGACGCATGACCTTTTCCATGAAGGTAGACTCAGGGTGGATATACGCCAGATTCGTGATAGCGAGTAAGCGGACGGCAAGGGCTTGCTGCCGCGACTCCGCACCGCCCTGGAGCGCTTTGGCAACTCTCAAGCGGTTGAGAACCTCATATCTTGTCGAGGCTGGCATATCTGCCGGGCATCGCGAAAGGAGCTCGTAGATGGAGGTAGACGCCAGGGTTGATTGTGGCAGCTCAAAGACCCTCTGACTTGGGTTGGGTTGATCGTTGAAGTTACCCGGACTCCGAACACTCAAAGGCGAGGTATCCTCAGCTCCGGGCTGACGAGCCGAACGAGGAGTGTTGTGTTGAGACCCAGCTGTTGTGCTACGTCGCAGGGGGGTGGGCGTAGAGGGCATGCTGGACGCAACACGATCTGAAGCTGGAGGGGCAGGCTGGTCCTTTGCCGTCAAGGGCGCTGTATAAGTGATTTTGATATCACCCCAGCCGTTCCAGCGGGTGTTATCTGGTGTGAGGATAGCACCCAAGTCGTTGGCAATCATAACCGCTGCATTCTTCTGGCCGGATGCGTGCACTTTTTCTTTACTTTTGGTGCTAGAGACGGGTGTGGCGGCAGCAGCCGAGTCCGAGAGACTGATGATCGGGGTCTTGGAGAATGGTTGGGCAAGGTTTTGCACGCGGTCAAGGTCAATCTGATAGTGATTGCCCAGCAAGGCCGTGCTAACTGTTCGAGAAGCGCTGCCAATCCGCTTGACAGAAGCCTGGTACCGTTGTGCCAGCTCGGCACTAACTTGCAAAGTGGCAAGGAGGACCGACAGAACCGTGGTGTTGAGCAACTTGTTCAAAACCATACTGCTAGAATAGATGCTTCTGTTGCCGCAATGCTCCAGGAGCGTACGGGTGAAGTTCAGGACAGCCTCAACGAGCTGCCTGTCGCCATCTTCCTTGTAGCCCAGCTTGGACAAACTCTCGATATCCCACGTCTGGTCGCCGTACGATTCAACCTTGGCTACTCGATTAAGGAGAAGATCGCAGCCAAAGTCACGGTTCTGGGGGCCCTGATCGAGGTTATAAGTGGTGGAGAAGCAGTCCAGGATGTCGTCGAACCGGTTGAGGAGAGGAATCCAGTGGTACAAATCACCTCTCGGGAAAGGCCATCTCGTCGGGAACTTGGAGAGGTGGTCTGGAAGAAGAGGCAAGGGGGTCGAACAGGCCGACGAGACGAAATCCTTGAGCCATGGAGACTGCGGGGACTTGGTTAGCCGGGCTAGCCGCCGAAGGACGCAGGGCGTAGGCATAATTTACTTACCAAAGTCTCAGCATGCTTAGGCTGCATCTGCTTCGTTATCTTCCCCATCGTGGGCGAGCGCGGCAGGGCCGCTGGTTCATAAGTGCAGCCTTGCTAGCTAGCCGGGTCGGAAAGTGAGGGTCTTGATGGCGCAACGGAGATCTTGTTGGCGTTGGCGCAAACGGAACAGACGCGTCGCCGTAGAGGGCGCTGTCCTCGATTTCCGGTGGTATGCAGTAGAGTATGTAGGAGAGTGTGGAGGTAAAGGTTTCTGGCCTGGTCAAAAGCCAAAGGAGAGCGATGACAGGAAAGCTTGGTTCAGGAAGGTACAGATGTGCAAGGCCGGGTGCAGGACGCCCTTGCAGGCTACGGTACAGACAGCTTCGCCAAGCAGTTATGGTGGGTTCGACTGTTGTCGTCGTTGTTGTTGTCGTCGTCGTCGTCGTCAAGATGGTGCGCGTCGCTCGGGGAGGTGTTGATTTCCGTGCGAGCAGCAGGCGACAATATCAAGCCGTCGGTCGCAACGAGTGTCGGGGTGTTGGTGAGGTGGAAGGTGGGAGGCGGGATAGGATGTTGGAAGTGGTGAAAAAGAAGTTGCAGATGTCAAATCTGTAAGGAAAGGTAGGTGCGGTTACAGTGGGCCCTTTGCGTAATAGCAAGGTAGGTAGAGGTAGCTTCCTAGGAAAGTGCCCTCACTTTTTCGTGGAAAGTCAGCGTCGGGTGGTCTATAGCCTCGCGGGCGGTCAGTCAACGCGGAGGGACTAGGCGGGCAGTTTTCAGGCGGATCAGCTTTGCGCACTGTGCCGCAGCGCAAAATCTTACGCCCATTACAGTGCGGAATAAACTGTTAAATACAGTTACAGCGGTATGACGGGAGGATAGCGGGGAGACGAGTGCACGGTTCACCTCTCGCCGGACGGGATGTGGCGTGGTGTCAGGAAGCTGAAGGCTCGACGTGGAAACGACTTAGTAAAGTACGTACCACAAGGCAGAAGTCCATCCAGTCTTATCACCCACCTAGGGTAGGTACTCACAGTCTAACTACCGCGTAAGGAAGCCCCTGTGCCAATTGTCGCTAGATTTGTATTTCATGCTCCATGTCTTTATCCCCAACGTCAATGTCTGAATAGTGGTGGTGTAATTCTTTCAACCGCATAGGTAGGTGGTTGTATGTTGCTCAAAGCCCGCAAAACATTTTCTGCCAGCCGGTTTCTTGGTCCTGAACTTTGCTTGAAGATTACTAATAAATGACGCTGATCTTGTATTGAGGTCACTCCTCACTGATTGAGATTTCATGTCACCTCTTTTTACTGGACACCACACTACCTTGAACGGTATGTGACAGCATACGAAGTCGACTTCCAACCACATCAGACCTTGGGTCAGGCCGCAATCTCCACCGAAGCACGTCGCTGGCGGTGAAAATATCAACGTCAGCATGGAGTCGCCGCCCTTGTTGTGCAGCTCCAGTCAATACTCGCGTTCAAGCATCCAGAACAGCAGCCTTTGAGGCCTCCTGTCTGTTATGAAGGCACCGAGGAGTTGGCAATTGCCTGTAATGAGGAGGTCGTTATCGTGTTCAGAAGAAATATATTGCCGCCAGTGACCTAGGTAGCCAGGAACATCTTCACGACGAATCAACCACGTGGGAGGGCGGAAGCCATGGACAAGTCCGCTTTGCATCCCATGCGCTGGCTGTGTGTTCTGCCTAAAAACAAGATCGGACGCAGCCCTAGCCACAAGGCCTCAGCTAGTATTTCTGGCAGTGGCGGGAAAGAGGAATGCTTGCTGTAAATGGCCTATCGACACAGCAACTATAACATGGCTGAGATATGACTTCCATTAGGCTCCTACGCAGGTGGTCTCGAGTACCTGTACGTGGCTGATGCCCCGACTTATGGTAGGTATCATCCTCGAGTGTGGCTAGGTCTTGGAAACTAAGGCAGCGAAAGCACTTGGTAACATTCCAGCGCTTCAATGCACACAAGCCTGGGCTCTGTGAGGGTTAGCAAACATTGAGATTACATCTGAAATGTCGGCCAAGAGCTGCAGTAATAGCAACACTCTGTTGGTATTTGTCCCGTGCCATGTCTGAGAACTGAAGAATAGAGAATTAGTCTTGATGAACGATGGACGTCCAACAAACGCCGCTCCTGATGCCGTAGCCCCGTCGTTTCCCGAAGCCCGCCTTGAGCAGAACAGCCGCAGGACGGCGTAACGCCGGGCCTGCGAGCGGCTGATGTCGTTTGCGAAAAGGGAGGGGGGAGGCAATGCAAGGGGGAGGGCGGCGGAGATCTGTGTACCATTGATTGCAACGGCGTGAGGATATGAAGGTTGCACCAACAGGGAAGGATTGGCGCTACCAGTGGTGTACTCGGATCTCTGATGGCGGGCCGAGACACGTCGTGTACCAAGCATGCTTCGGCAGCCCAGTCATGATAGCTTGGGTAACTTGCGCTGCAGGAGCCGAGTACAAGCCCGATTCGGGAGAGAGACACACACATTCCCCAGGACTCTAGGAGCGCAGACAGCAACAAACAAACAAGACATGGCGTAGCGGCACTTGCTGCTGAGCTGACCTCTGCGGTGTTGGTTGCGTTGTAACTAGTGCCGCATGTGGCTCCCCAAGGTCGGATGAAGAGGGTACGGCTTTACTCGGGGGGAAAAGAGTGGGGGGAATAGGAGGCCAAGTTCTCGTACTCATGAGATTGGGTTCTTATTAAAGATTGAGAAGCTATTGGGAAATCCAGACCGCTACATCGGACCACTTTGCTCGGATCCAGGGTTGCTGGTAGTAGTTGTCACCTGGAAAGAGGTCACTTAGCGAAAGCAACAGACGAACCGAAATAGGTAGCTTCTGGGAGGCTGAAAGGGACGTGGGACATGCTGGGTAATGATCAAAAAACAGCAGCTTCCCTGCCCCGTCGATCTCAGCCAATTTCGTTTGGCTCGCCCCCACGAACGGTTTAGTGTTTACTGCCAGCCCTCAAGGCGCCGCCCCTGTGACAGATGTTATTTTCACAGTGTTTGGGTATTTCCTTTTGGTTGGTCGACACCCGACAGTGTGCTGGGAGCGGCTGGCTTTCTGAGCCCCGGAGAGTAACTCGCGGCATCCAAAAACAGAGAGTGATCCTGTGCCGTAAACGGCGCACTAAAACCATCAGTGGCTGCTCGCGCTCTTCTCTGTCCTTCCCTCCAATGCAGATTTGAATTGAGGTACCTTAGCGCCATGGTGGATCTCAAGGGTGCTGAGGATCGATGATTTGGGCGGTTGTCCACTTCGCTTCTCCTCGCTAGACTACTTCCAGCTCCCAGCTAGATAGGTGGATAGGCAAGTACCCTATCACTATCTGGCGCTGCAAATATACATCTAAAGTATCTCCCCCGTCCGCGGTGAGGCTCACCTTCGTTCGATTAATTCCCCATCCATCCCCAGGGGAGAAAAAAAAAAGGGAGGGAAGCACTGTCGCGCGCCACATCCGTTCCTCTCCTCGACTAACAACCCTCGGCCCTCAACCTTCGACCCTTCGACCCTGACCCTTCGTCTCTCGACTATCGGTCGTCCATCCTCTGGCAAGCTCACCGATAAATAAATAAAAACACCACAACATCCAAGCAAACCCAGCCGCAAGCCCGCCGATTGTGCACTCGTCCGAGGCCACAGACCTGTACCGTAGCTATTCTTCAGCAGCACAGACGACACAGTGTACAATCGCCTACCTCAGTGCTGGTGCTGCCCCCCCATCTCCATGGCCATCAACTAAAGTTGTTTCAAGCCCGACCTTGACCTGGAGGAGCTCATCCCACCAAACCGCACACATACTCGCACACCGTCACATTCACACGCGCACATAGGTCAGCGCAAGTTGACCTACCATCCTCCATCTCGCCATGTCCCAGCCAGGCGAGCCTGTTGCGGCCGTTTCACCCGAGATCACAAAGGAAACGAAGGAGAAGAGACTCTCAACCGACTCCGACTCGGATAAGGAGAATGTAACGCCCCCCTTCCTTCCTTGATGCACCACCCACCCCGGCTATGAACCAAGTGCAGCACCAGAGAAGACCCGGGAAACGGATGAGATTCGCTGACTGAACGGGCAAAACAGCAGGATGCCTTCGAAGATGCCGTCGTCGACGTCGCCGATGTTCCTGAGGTAGCTGAGGTAGCTGAGGTCCGCTCCCTTACCCAGAGAACGCCGTCGTACCAGAGACCACCGCCCCCCGAAGAAACTGGCCCCGAACCCGAACCCCCGAAAAAGGAGGAGACCGAAGACAAAGTGGTGCCAGCTCCGTCATCACCGGCAAAGGAAAGCAACCATTTTGTTGAGGACGAGTTCGTGAGTGACAATGATGATGGCGAGATCAAGCGGAAGGCGTCTCCCGTATCGCACCGTCTCTCCAATACCTCGGATTTGGACGATGTCAAGCTGGACGACGACCACCCTGCCCCACAAGAACCAGGTTTGTTGTTTGGCCGCATAAACTGACTGACGTGCATCAAATGTGCTAATTTCCAAAAGCAGAAACGAAACCTGCTAGCCCCGTCCAAGAGAAGGCGCCCCCAAAGAAGTTGTCAATTAGCAGCATTACTGGGGCTCTCCCGTCCATGCCATGGTCGCCGTCAGCCGAGCCATCGCCCGCCAAATCCCCTATAGCCCCAGTCGCTCCCCCGCCGCAAGGAGTTCCTGCTGCTTCCCTACCGCCACCTCCAGCCCCCCCGCAAGAAAGCTCACAAGTCCCTTCTCCTGGTTATCTCGCAACAGCATCAGCAAGGAGAAGGATACCTCGCCGCCACCCCAAGCCTCGCCCCGACGCAATACTGCTAGTTCCATTGCGACTTTGACGAGCAACCCCGAGATGATGCTTAGCAGGCTGGACGAAGAGGAGGGCGACGGTATCAATGGCGTCAAAGGAGCGCCCCGCCACAGCTTGAAGGACCGCTTTAAGATGGTGCGGTTACGGGAGGAGGCAGGCATCACACTGCCGACCGATGACGACAAACCTGTGTCATCGTCCAAGGGATTGGGATCGAGCACCCCTCCTGCTCAGAATGGCAACGACAAGGAGCTTGGGGTTGACCAGGCGCCCAAATCGCCCCTACCCACCACTCCGAACCCGTCATTGGCCCCCGGGACGGTATCTGGAGTTTCGGCTGGCCCGTCAGACATGGCTGATTCTCAGGTGGACTGGGATCTGTGGCAGTCGGTAGTATACGAAGGCCCGGCAGTCGTTGCAAGGACCAGCGCCGAGGAATTGAATAGCGCTATTGCCAGTGGTATCCCCAACGCCATCCGTGGAGTCATCTGGCAGGTTTTGGCCCAGAGTAACAACGAGGAGCTCGAGGTAATGTACAGGGAGCTTGTGGCCAGAGGCACCGAAAAGGAAGTCAACCGGAACAGTCAAAGTACTATCAGCTCGGGCAGCAACGGAAACCTCAGCATACAGAATGATGTTGTCAATTCTTCTGCCTCGTCGGTCCATTCGGAGCATTCCGGCGCAAATGGCATGTCGCCACCTCACGAAAAGAGTGCCGAGGCCGTGTTGAAGGCGCAGCAGGCCGCTGCCGCAGCAAGACAAAAGAAGCAAAAGGAGGACAACGCTATGCTGCAGAAGCTTGAGAAGGCGATTCGACGGGACATGGGCACGAGAACCAGCTTCTCCAAGTACGCTGCTGCTGCTGGGCTCCAAGAAGGTCTGTTCGGCGTGTGCAAGGCGTATGCCCTGTTTGATGAAGCCGTCGGCTATGCACAAGGCATGAACTTCCTCATTATGCCGCTCTTGTTCAACATGACGGAAGAGGAAGCATTCTGCCTGTTGGTTCGCTTGATGAACCACTACCACCTGCGTGACCTCTTCATCCAGGACATGCCTGGTCTCCACAAGAACTTGTACCTCTTCGATCGTCTTCTTGAGGACTTCGAGCCGGCTCTCTATTGCCACCTCCGCCGCCGCAGCATCTCGCCCCATCTCTACGCTACCCAGTGGTTCCTGACGCTCTTTGCCTACCGCTTCCCTCTGCAACTAGTGCTCCGCATTTACGACCTGATCCTGTCCGAGGGTCTCTCGGCCATTTTGCGCTTCGGCATCGTTCTGATGCAAAAGAACGTGACCAACCTGCTTGCCATCTCGGATATGCAGCAGCTCACTGTCTTCCTCAAGGACAAGCTGTTCGACGTCTACATTGATACGGCCCCCAGCGCCGGAAGCATCTTAGAGAATGGCTTCTTTGGAAGCTCCAGCTCCAGCATGGACAAGGAAGTATACCGCGCCGACCAGTTTGTCAGGGATGCTTGCGATATCAAGATTACCCCCGAGACCCTCAAGGCATACACTCTTGAATGGGAGGAGAAGACAAGGGCGGAGAAGGAACGCGAGGCAGAGCTCGAGCAGTTGCGGACCGCCAACATCAACTTCGCGGTGAAGGTGCGTAAGCTCGAGGAGCGTGTCGAGGCTTATGACAGCGAGCAGGCCGCGCTCGCGACGGAATTGGTCCACACCAAGGTCGAGAACGAGGAGCTCAAGGATGAGAATGAGAGCCTCAAGGGGCAGGTTCGTGAGCTTCGCAATGTCATTGAGAAGCAGCCCGAAGAGCTTGAGAATGCGTGGAAGGCCGAACGCGACGACCTCATGAAGCGCAATCAGAAGGTTCACGAGGAGAACGAGAGGTTGGAAAAGGAATTGGCAGAACTAGAGGAAGAGCTTGTGCAAACGAAGATGCAGTATGCCGAGGTAAGTCAAGACTCGTAGATGCTCGCTGGCACTTCATTCACTGATATTCATGACAGATAAACTCCCAGCACGAGACACTCACTCGCAAGTGGACGGACCTCAAGCGACAGTTCGCATAGAGCGACGTGTCCGAAATAAACCCTGGTATACCCAGAAACAGAATTCTATGAACACCTTAATGTACGAAAGTAATTGTAGCATCCCATTAAGTATGGAGTTTTGCGTGTGTGCTTGCTGGCCGAACGCACATCTGGGTGCCAAGCTGGCTACAGGCAACAAGGAACCAAAAGGACCCAAAAAGTGGTCTTCCATCTTTGATATCCGAAGAAGCATTACGCAATAGAAAGTTGAAGGGAATATGTCGGTTCGAGACGGGCTCAGACAGTGGGGGCGGCCAACGACCCCCAGAAGCATCTCATCATGACAGGCGTTCATACTCGAGGCAAGCCACGAGACGAACGGGGAGTTGGTTCATGAATGGTGACGGGTTTCGGCTTCGGTTGGCAGACTTTTTATACACACCTGCGACATCAACTACAGAACAAAGAGAGCATTACAATGCAATTGAAACCAAAAGAAGTCACGGCGCGAGCGGATGAAGCCAGTATATATCTGTGAGGCAGGCAAAAACTTGGTGGTATAGTCTTTTTGAGTTCTTCCTAATAACCCATAATCCGTTCCGTCGGCCCGGTTTGCTTTTCCCGAGCCCACACATGATTGTAAGCTGATCACGCCACCCATTGGTGGCCTCGCCAGACTTGACGAAAAGCAAAAAACCTGTTTGAACACCAAGAACAACCTAAGAGCCCGATAAAATGTTTTTTTTTCATTCCCCTTAACGTGAAACCCATTGGGAGTGTCAGTTATCTAGTGCCTTTCCCCGCCATGCCGTTACTCCCAACGCGACGCTGGTTAGCAAGCAGAACATGATACACTCATCGTGAAAAGAGACGAAGAGCGTAACGTCTACTTGTGAAGCTTGCGCTGGTAGAAGGCGAGCTCCTCACCCTCAAGGATGTATCCGTCGCAGCGGCCAGACTGGCCGGGGCGGGAGGAGACGACAGCGTACAGGCGACCAGCCTCGAACTGCTTCTCGAGGGCATTCTCAACCTTGCCCTGGGCGGCGAAGCGCTCAGCCTGCTTCTTCTCAACAGACTTGGACTTCTTAACCTCTTCTTCCTTGGCGACGGTGCCGGCGGCCTGCTGCTTCTGCTGGCGGCGACGACCGAGGTTCTGGCCGTAGTGGGCCTCGTACCACTGACGGAAGGGGGCGGCGTCGATCTGGACGACGGCGGACTTGGTCAGGGTGTTGGTGCGGACGAGCTCGTTGTTGGAGGGGTGGTAGGCGACGCCGATGACACGGGTCTTGCGGGTGCAGCCCTCTGAGGCCCAGGCGAAGTTACCGCTGTCGAGGCGGAGGGCGCGGTACTTGTGGTTGCCGCCGCGGGTGCGGACCGTGTGGATTCGCTTGGGGCCGATACGGGTGTTAGCACCCTGGCGACCGGCCTCGAAAGCGCGCTTCTTCCCTGTTGAGCAGAAAGGTCAGAACGCATGCTTGGTTAGAGCATACGGGCTTTCGAATGTGTTACGCACGGTAGTAGGCGCGCTTGGCACCGGAGGCGGAGCGCTTGTGGCGGGAATCTCTCGAGATACCCATGATTGCTTATGCTGTTCGCAAGACGGGTTAGCACAGGTCCGGACCTAGGCTGTGATGCGACAAGAAGAAATTGGACATGATTCCCCATTGAACTCAACAGAGAGGTCGGGAGATGGGTCGGGAATAGGATTGGGTGTTTCGAACATCGCCAGGGCGATACCGCGAAATGCCTCTTTGCTCCGGCAGAGAGCCAGGAGAACGAAGATTGGGAAATCGAGGTTAATCGTCCGTTACAACAGTCCGTCTGAATCAAATGCGTGTTGCTGATACTGCTGCTGGATATCGATCAACTAACCTGATGGTGGCTCAGAGGCAATCGACTGGTGGCTGGCCGGCGTTGGGTGGTTGGATTGTCGAGGTTGTCGGGATTGAACTTTTTCGGGAGAACGAGAGATTCGAGAGGAAAGGACGCCTGGTAATTTTTTGTGCGGGCTCGCTAACCCCACTGCCACCATTTCGGGGATTGTGCACGGACCATCCTAGGGCATGTTTTGCGCCTGAGGCCGAGCTGCTGACGGTTCCCAGGGGGTACAGGTACTCATTCTTGTTCAGGTCTATAATTGGTTGTACACCGAAGTGGAGGCTCACTGTCGGTGAACACCCCGCGCACACCGACAGGTTCTACTTCGGAGCGTGATACGGAGTCTCTTTACGGTACCTGACACCATTGACATTTGAAGAGCTAACGGTGACTCAACCCAGTATCTCATAGCCGACCTCGTATGTCTTGTGCGAAAGCCCTATTGAGCTGGAGGCCACCACCAAATGATGCGGTATTCTCTAATACGGAACGAGCACTCCAGGACTATTGAGCCTGACCCGCCAGGTCCCTATATCTCTGGCCCCTTTCACACTCTTATGCGGGCTTTGCACCAGAAATTTGTGAGCGCGTCTCCTTCCGCTCTATCAATCGCGCAGAGGCTATTTGAGTATTCGAGTTGACGATGCCCGAGTGTGCAGTCAGTTAAGACGAAATCGGAACCTTTAGTTCCGTATTGGAAATATTCTTTTCGACTGGCATCATGGTCTCTAAAACAGTCCGAGGATCTTCGTGCAGGTGAGGTTGGGCATTGCTTCGGTTGCCTACAGCGGCGCCACTCCTCCGCATTCCCATGACCAAAAGACAACGAAGGCGGAAATATGGTGAGTAAGAACCTCGGCTAGGTTTCAGTCTGCGCATGCCACTTCCCTGTACTGGAGCCTATCAATCTAAAGCATGAAAGCTGCGGGCAACTTGTATATACAAAGTTTGCCTCCTTCTGCCAAGAACATGATAGCGAACCTCATTTGGGGTTTTGTTTGCTTTTTTCTTTGTTGCGAATCCATGAGATGCTGCAGCTCATTTCATAGTTCCTGTGGAAACATTTTCTCTGGTTCGAATCCTACAGGGAGGGAGGGAGGAGCCGTCTTATCTGTAACGCAAGGAGACTGGCATTAAGACCTGTTACCCCGTCGGATCAGGGATTCTGTTCATGGAGTAAACGTCACACCCGCAACGTATCTGAGCCGCTCTCAAGGATCAATTGGAGCCCCAGCTTTAACGGTCGGATCTTTCAAGCATGAAATGTGTCAAGAAGATACAGACTGCTGACGACAGCGCTTGGAGACTGGTGCCTCTCAATGCCCGCATTGGAGTTCCCTGGAGTCTCTTATTTCAGCTGGCAGGTGGTTCCGCCTGTTTCCTGGTCGTCACTCCCGAAGGAAACCCCGGAAACAGCCCTATTTACATTAAAGTGGCCGTCGAAGCCTTCGTCGATGGCATGCGTATGTACTGCGCAACTCGCCCAAAATCAGTAGCATTAGAAGGGCGTTAGTGTAATATCCAGCTCGTGCCGTCGTTCATGACCCCGGGCTATTTCGTCTGGCCATCGGCCGTCCTGCGGGAAAGTAAGGGTCCTCCATCACGAACTCTGACGGTGGAATCCGTGACGGTTGTGGAGACACGGCGTTGTTCCTCAGCTTGATAATGCCCATTTCCACGCTGTGCGTCAACGATGGCTTGTCAAGATCCAACGTCAGAATGTTCTCCATGCTCTCGGTTTTGCCGAGTATCGTCGGAGGACCGTAGAAGCTCGAGCTCACCGATAACTTTCCACCAGCATTAGCCTGCGTTGCACGAGCAAACGCGTTGGGGCCTATGGGCGGCTTGGATCCGCCTATCGTCGTTCGCTGGCCGGGGTAGTACACTTTCGAGTACTTGTCTGTGGACAAGCCGAGAGCCTTGTTAAGGCCGGGGAATCTCGATATCAGCGGCCTCAGCGACGGCACGCCGGAGCAAATGATCAAGGCGCAGACCTCGAGTTCGGACCAGATAAGGGGATCGGCAACCAAGACTACAATGGTTAACGGCGACACACGTGCCAAGTCGGGAGATACTTACAAGTAACGTCTCGATCGAAGGCGTTGATATAGGTCACTCTGATGACAGAGATAACGCACGCACTAAACAAACCTTTAGCCGCGGACCAGTGAAAATGACCGAAATTACTCACAGTAAGCCCAGAGAGAGCATGAAGATGACACCAATCCGTTTTGCAACCCGTACGTTCAACTTCCAGACGATCGGGATTGGTTGAATGAAGAGAACAAGGTCAGTCAACAGCTTGATGACGAACTGCTCCAGGTCAGCCGGGTGTTCTTAGGTTTTCGCTTGTGTGAACATACGGCAGAATAGTAGAATATCGTCAAGTCCAGGCACGTTCCGGGAACAGTCGGTGTCCAAGCTCGCTGAACAGGAGCGCATCTGAAGATCACTACTGCCGTCTCCTCGATGCCCTCGGCGAGTAACAGAAGAACGAGAAACTGGTTGATGCGTCGATAGACCTCGTCTGGAAGCAGTCGCAAGTAAAGTACCGCAAACGACATCTTGACTGTCACAAAGGCCCAGATATAGGAGAGCTGTGTGGCGACTTGCAACTGAACGACACTCGTCAGTTTGCCATCCGAAAGCAACCTTTCGCTGTTCACCAACCTTGAGGAACTCGGCAAAGTCTGTGTCTGATACGTCTTCAAAGTGGGAGCCCAAGCCGACGCCGGTCACTAAATCCAAGGTGAGTTCCCGTCCCAACACCTGAACCATATTTTGAACTCACTGGTAAGAATTGCACTGCAGAGTGCCATGGCTAAGACCTATTTCAGTCAGAAATATTCTATTGATTGGCACACAGGGGTAAGTACCCAGCTGGTTAGCACCAGTGCTATCGACTGTCAGCCCTGCTGTTGTCGTAGTAAAGGAGAGCTCGTGGGTACTCACTGTCGTCCCATCCTAGACTTCTTAATAAGACACCTCGTACAAAGGTCCTCGTCGCGACAGCCAGCGTAATGAAGACCATTAACAAGATAGTCACGCTCCTCGTTTGAGCGACTTTAGTGTCCGCCATTTTTCGTCGATGGTTACATTCGGGTCGATCGTGTTTCTCGACGGATCATCACAGAGCTGGGGACCGAGTATATTATCATCGATTGAATGAAGAGGGTTGGACTGAGGAAGTTTACAGGATGGTCCATGACTGCTGTGTGACCCCCTACGTACGCATGTGCCTACCAAGAACAACCGAACTCCGATGCATTGAACAAGAACTACGTACAGATGCCAACCCACTCCCTGCCCTTCACCTTCTGTCGGATGTCTTCAACGGTGTTCCCAGATAGATCTAGGTCTGGACAGTCCCAACATCAAGACTGCCTGGATATCGATTGTATAATCCGCAGCAGGGATGATGGTGTTTGCTGACGCCCGGCGAGGTCAGTCGACGAGGAACGAGTTGCCGGGAGCCTCGCTGATGTCAATAGCGGGTTGAGCATGAAATATCTGCGGACTGTTCAGCAAGGAAGTTTACTTACGACTCTATGAGTCCCTCGTTCGTGTGCTGGACTTCCAACAGCCAAGTTTCAAAATTCGAAGGCCGATCGATTGCCGCGAGACGTCCAGGGCATCAGACTGTTGTCGCAAGGCGATCCACGCGAGTGACAGATCTATACGTTTGACGGGCAGCGTGAGACGAGAAATCCGTTAGGCCGAAAGCGCCGACGGGTCGACCCTGCGAATGTCCACAGGGGAGTCCGGGGAGAAACACCGGAGCCGCGGAGCTATGCGACGAAGAGCACATCATACAAACAGGCCATTCAGGCAGTGGCAGGCCATGCTCTGGCCTTCAGGGAGGCTCAAAGGCGATTCCATCCTTTCTTTGCTTGCCGAATGTCTGGCCGCCAATGACTCGTCTGGTAAGCGGTTTAGCTACGGTTCTCACGATCCATGGCAAGGCCCGCCTACTGCTGTTGCTCTCTTGAAGCTTCATACTATGGGTGATTCCCAAAGCTTGATGCTGGAGCAGTCGGGAAATTATGCTCCTGTTAGTTACAGTGGCTTCTGGTTTGACTCTCTGGACAGCATTCGGGAAGTCGGAATAGTCCACTTCTTAACGTTTCTACTGCAGGCGTAGCCATGTGCGCTGATTGCAACAATGGGACGACAGGACGCATGGGAGAATCCACCCATGTCATATCTTATGATCTCAGGGGCGGAAGCCACTGGTCGGGGCCCTTTGTGTCTTCATCTCATCAATCATTCAAAACACCTGAGATGAGGCAGAGTTGGTTAGCTAGAGCAAATCTGTCTGTGCGGGGGTTCAGCATACCGAGTTCTTGACAGAAAACGGCAGCAGACTGGTAAGGCTGGGCAAGCAAAGAGGTTAAGCACAACGGTCATGACTTGCAGAGGATCTTTGCCTGATATTGCTTCAGCTTGACTTCGACGAGACTCTTGCACTCCCCGAGCCGAACGTTGACGAATCGTTTCATCATACTGAACCCCACCGACAATCGCCAAGTCACCCCCCAAACGAGTGAAGTTGACCTTTCTCCATGGATGCTACAGCGCTCAGCTGACAAAAGGCGGAAGTCTATTGGTAAAGTACTCTTCTTATGGAAAAGTGCATATCGGCGAAGTGCACTAGTGATGTGGCGTGTTGTGCCACAGAGAGATTTCATGTATTGGGTTTCAGTCTCCACGCCGTGGTGAAATCCGAAAGCTCGGCGTATTCCCGACCTCAGGATGGGTGACGGATATGCACTATTGTTCTGTACACTGGCGACATGCCAGTATTGGCAGATTAAATACCCTCCGTTACGGACTAGGAAGAAAGGGATGGCTTGTATTATTTCTGGCTGATGCCAGCTTGAGCGAAAATGGCACATGGTCAAGGTGGCTCGGCTTCTTTAGCATCTCTTCCGCAAGGTAGCAGATATGACTCGCTCCTTATGTGTGGTAGAGGGCGAAACTCATCTGAAGTTCCGTGACAGGAAACGTCGCAGCGGAGAAGATAGCCGTCGGGTCCTCGCTCCAACAGCCGAAAGCCAGAAGACCAGAACATGCAACGCGCCCAGACCCCAGACCATCATTGTAAAATCAAAGGGCCTGAAAGTTGAACCTCTTTTCGTAATTTAGGTATCGCTTCAAAGCAGATGTATGTTTCCAAATTTCGTCACGCAGCAGCGGCAGCGGCAGCTGGTAATACTGCAAGACAAGGTAGGGGAAGTGGACAATACAGCTCATCTCGAGGTCGGCCTGCTGACCAGAACACTCTACCTAGTTGAAGTCAAAAGACGAGGATCATTAACAAGGTATGGATGGTCTAAGTCGAAATCCAGACGACAAACATTCAATTTATGGAACAGCCTCGATCACCAAAATTGGGTTGCCAGATAAGAACACAACTTGAGGGACGCATGTTCCATACCTCACTGCCCGTAGGCACTCAAGATATTTCAGGGCTGAGAGGTATGATTATATGTGTCAGCAGATATTTGACCCTGGTGAGATAGGGGCGGTGTCAGAAAGTTCCTGCAATGATGGGACGAGAAGAGTGACAAACCGTGGACCGGGAAGTAGGATGCCGCAGCTCTGGTCCCGGCGGTACCCTTATTTTCCCAGGGTCCTCTGGTGCCCATACCGCACAAGCACGAGTGAAATGATTCGTGGGTTGAGAAAGAAAGGAAGAAAAAAGACTTTACGTGGAAGGGGTCTGGACCAGCCGGGTTTTTGTGACTGTGTATGGTTAATATTGTGTACCTGTGCAACCTTAAGAGGGGCCGTCTTGTACTAGTACCTCAGTCTGGAACAACCGGGAAAATGACGACGATGCGAGTGAGATGTTTATCGTGGACGAGACATTTGTTGACACGCCAAGACACCACCGTTCCGTGGAGCTGATGCAGGTGGTTTTATGTAGCAGTTGGAACGGGCCGCCTCGCTCAAACCACAGGAATGGGTTTATACTATAGTGACGGGATGTGACGTCTGGAAAGAGCAGCTCTGTGGTCGTTGGGAAAGAAATCATGGTGTTTTGAAGGTGTTCCAGAGGCAACGAAGTTCTGCCGGCCCCACCCACCCACTTCATCGGCTGCTTCCTTCCCCAGAAACCCGCCTTTCTCGGAGTATTTCCCGACGATCGCCGCCTTCCTCCCACCCCACATGGCTTGCATTGGCCTTGCCGGGAAGGGAAGGAGATTTGGCCAACACACCCCCAGCAAAACCGACTCTGGCCTGCATCCGCAAGGCATCGCCAACTTCAGCAACTCTTCTCCTCATTTTGATTCACCTTGCCTTTGCTTTTCCTAGGATCCATCGAAGAACAATACGAATTGTCCTACTTCTTGAAGCAGTCATTTTCTATTCTTCTCAGTCGTCCTCCTTGTTCCTGTACACCTCCTACAGACATTTGCCTCGTGTTGTTTCCCACCTCTCTCGGCAACACTTCTTTGACTCTTCGAGTTGATACCGTATGCAAGTCAACCAGGACAGCTAGCCACCTTCGCGCCTCGAACAAATGAAGTCCGCAGTCATCGTCGCAGCCTTCATCGGCCTCGTCGGCCTTGCTGCGGCAACCCCTCCCGCCTGTCTTCTCGCCGCCTTGGGCCAGCAAACAAGCCCGGCCGGCGTCGATACTCTCTGCGATGACTTGATGCCAGCCATGCTTGGCAACTTGACCAATGTCTGCCAAAGTGCCGACCGCAAGCCTGCATATGACGCCTATGCATCCATCTGCTCCGAGATTGGCATCAAAGTCGCCGATTTGCCGTTGCCTTCGAACGTCAGTGCTGTGCCTACTTCAACTCTGGGATCTTCTACCAGCAATAGCCCCGACGCGACTTTGACGCCATCGTCCCCAACCACCACGTAAGTTCCGTTCCCTGTGTTGTAGGCAACCCTAACTAATACTATGATCAAGCGGCGATGGCCCTCAGCAGTCGAGGCCCAGCGCAGCAGGTGCCATTGCTCCTCGCGCCTTCCTTTTCCCTGTCCTCGGCCTCTCCGTAACTGGCTTTGCCAATGTGATTTTCTTGTAATGAACATGGTCGCACGGGATTGTGGCAAGCAACCCGTTCTTTGCACTTGTACAACATTCGTGGTCAAACAGCACGCGAAGCCCCAGGCACTCTAAAACCCAAAATCGACAGAGTCGGGATGGAACAGAACACCTGATATGCATTGTGGTTGGAGGATAATGTAATTCAGAAAGAGGCTTGTATTCGACGGCGTCCGGGATACAAAACGGGAGTGGTGTTTCATTCACAATCAGCATAGACGCTTGTGACAGGGTGTGGCATTAAACCTGATATTTTACGAATTGGTATCTTTTCCTCCTCTCTACGCCTTGTCTTGGGGACCTCTATGCAAGTTTATTTCAGGGTCACCAGCTCTTCAGCGCTGGTCGGGTGGATGGCAACGCAGCTGTCAAAGTCCTTCTTCGTGGCGCCCATCTTGACGGCGACACCGAAGCCCTGGAGCATCTCTCCGCTGCCGAGGCCGGCAATGTGAAGACCAACAACCTTTTCTTCGGGGCCCGCGACGACAAGCTTGTAGGCGGTGGGCGCCTTCTCCTCGGGCTCCATCATGGCATAGTACATGGCGGTGAAGTTGGACTTGTAGACCTTGATCTTATCCTTGCCGTACTTCTCGATGGCCTGGGGCTCCGTGAGACCGATGCTGCCGACCTCGGGGTGGGAAAAGACGACGGAGGGGATGTTTGAGTAGTCGAGGTGGGCCGTGGAGTACTCAGGGCCACCAAACAGACGCTCGGCCAAACGACGGCCGGCGGCAATGGCCACAGGGGTCAGCTCGACCTGACCGGTTACGTCACCAAGGGCGTAAATGTTGTCCAGGTTGGTGTTTTGGTACTGATCGACGGGGATGTAACCCTTCTCGTTCAGCTTCAGGCCAATCTCCTCGAGACCAATGCCCTTTGTCGCCGGCGTGCGGCCAATGGCCCAGATGAGGTGGTCGAAGCCGCCCTCGGACGTCTCCTTACCCTCGGCGTCCTTGTAGAAGATGGTGAGCTTGCCCTCGGCGTCCTTCTCGACCTTTGTGGGCTGCGAGCGCTTGTGCAGGTTGACACCCAGGCGCTCGTACTCCTTGGTGACGGTCTCCTGGATCATGGGGTCAAAGTTGCGCAGGAAGGTGTCGTGGCGGATAAAGAGGTGGGTCTCTGTGCCCAGGGCGTTGAACATCCCTGCGAATTCAACGGCGATGTAGCCAGCGCCGACGAGAGCGACCTTCTTGGGCTGCTTGTCGATGTCGAAGAAGCCATCCGAGTTGGTGCCGAGCTCGGATCCGGGGATGGTGGGCGGGATGGTGGGGTTGCCGCCGACGGCGATGAGGATCTTCTTGGCCTTCACGAGAGCCTTGGTGCCGTCGTCGAGAGTGACCTCGGCCTCGTTGCGCGAGGTGAGCTTAGCCCAGCCGTGGAGGTACTCGACCTTATCGTTATTGAGGTTACGTTCGTAGATGCCGTTGAGGCGCTTGATGTAAGCGTCACGCTTCGTTTTGAAGGTGGGCCAGTCGAAGGGGGCCGTCTCGGTGACGGAGAAGCCGTAGGACTTTGCCTGGTGGATCGTCTCCGCGATGGCAGCAGCGTTGAAGGTGACCTTCTTCGGGACGCAGCTATAAGGGGGGAAGCAAACCAGATTAGTTCTCAGTCTCTTTGGTATAATTTCTGGGGTTTACTCGGGTTGATAGACATACCCTACGTTCACGCAGGTTCCTCCCAGCCGCGCGCCTTCGACGATGAGGGCTTTTGCGCCAAACTGTCCGCTGGCCTTGCGCGCTGAGGCCAGACCGCCGCTGCCGCCGCCGATGACGAGGAAATCGGTCTCCTTGGTGATGGGGGCCATGGTGCGCGCTGTCGAGGAGAGCTGTCTCTGTATGGCTGCAAGTCTTGTCGTGGGTGCTGCCGCTCGAGATGCTGCAACGGTGGATGTGCGGTAGAGTGCGGCTTGGAGGGCTTGCATGGAGTGTTGAGGGAATGTGGTGGTCGCGGAGGCGGAGGAAGGCAGGAGCAGTTTTCTAAACTACATATACCATGCGTGTTTGGTGGGGCTGACTGTGGTGACGTCTTGTAAGCTCGAAGATGCGCAATACGAGTAAAGCCTGACAAATGCTAAGCTGTAGGAAGTATAGCACGATGCGGATTCGGTATGGTGGGCTAGCCGGCTACCTAGGGAGGCTGATGTAAGTTTTCTTTCGGGGACTAGAACGCGGGTGCGGATGCGGGCGGTGCTGTCGGCGATTGGAGCTCCTGTAGAATCGGCGTACGGGGGGAGGCGATTTCGGAGGGGAGGTGTGCGTGTGATTAAGTGAGCGAGTCGCGCTGTGCAAGTAATATTGGTAATGGGCAACTGGATAGGTCATCGCCAATCAGCCGTGAAGAAAATATGCCCCTGTACGGAACTCGCTAGAGAATGTCGTGGAACCGGGGATAACTAAGCACCGATGCGTACCTAGGTAGGTAGTGTAGGTAGTGTAGGTACGGATAGTGTAGTGTACATACCTACCTACCTACCTCTAGAATAGGTACGCAGACAGTGGGTAAGCAAAAGTTCCGCCGAATGTGAAATCACACAATGCGGCTATCCGAAGTCGGCCTCTTTGACTTTTTAAAACAATAGTGATTTACATAGAAAAGTAAAGTCATGTGGATTTATACACAGAGAAAAAGCAGCTCTATTCATCTCTATTTTTGCCTACTATTTTGTATGTAGGCGAGGGATATAATAGAGGGTAAGTGTTGTTGAGTTTGATAACTTGCGACGTTGGTTGGGGAATCGGCTAGACTTTTGCTACCCCACTGGACTGCGACAGGGTACTGTGGCCGTTGTCAGACTCTCAATCCCCGGCGGATGGAATGCTGCAAGATAGCTCCATAGGTCATCCCGCTGTCAGATCAACAGCCTTTTGACAAGTTGACGCCAACAGGGAGGGCGGGGATCATTCATCATTGCCTTCCCGCTGTGAGCGAACGGCGGCACCCGGCCCGACGAATGGATTCCAAATCGACAACACCATATCACCCGGCCGAGGCGCCCATGTCGTCGCCGTCGTCTCTCATCGGCCCGTAAGCTACCGGATGCGTCGGTTGGTGGTTGGATACCCGTTAGGGAGCCGAGCACAAGCTTTTCATTCCAAATGTCGCTTTTGAAAGCTTGTCACTTGCGTAATCACTGTGTGGATGCCGCGTTTAACGGTATGACTCCCCAAAATATCCAATTTGGTATGTTCGATGCCGCCAATCCAAAACACCCAACTACTTGGTTTCATTACAAGGCGTCGCGTCTGGGTATCAACAACTGACTGGCGGCAAGTAAGCCCCCTGGCGCATATTTTCTGTTCTCATCAATCATCGTAATAAACTTCGTATCGACCGTACTCGGCCTGCGTGCTAACCCATTCCTCGTCTGCCAGACCTCGCATCATCCGCCTCTGAAGTCCTTGAGCGTCCTTGTGCCAGTCGCAGGCAAAGTCGCATTTCGGCATCTCGCTCTCGCCAAAATATCTGCTAATCTGCGCGTGGCGGCAGGCAGTCGTATTTTCGCAGTATAGCGCAAGCTGTTGCAGGCTTTTTGCCTGCGCCTCCCAGTTTGACCCGTCGCGGTTCCCCTTCCTAATCATGCTCTGTACGCGTTGTAGGTCTTCTCGACTGTAGTACAGAAAGCAAAAACTCGCGTTGCCGTCTCGGCCTGCGCGGCCTGCTTCTTGGTAGTACCCCTCAAACGATTTGGGCAACCGCCAGTGGACAACAAAACGGACATTGTTCTTGTCGATGCCCATGCCAAAGGCCGTGGTGGCCACTATGACATCGTAGCCGGGCTCATTATTCACCCACCGCGTCAAGGTCTGCTCTTTGACCTCTTTGGTAAGCTTCGCGTGGAACGGCCTAGCACCCACACCTTCGTCTCTAAGTGCCGCTGCCAGAGACTCGCACTCGTCCCGCGATATCGTGTATATGATACCAGACACATTGTCGAGCCGCTCCCCGGCGGCTTCCAGCTCGGCTTTGCGCGGACCTGCTTTCCTCCTCTCGTACACACTACGTATCCATGCTAGAAAGTCAGCCAGGCGGTCGTCGTCTTGGTCTTTTGTGTATCTGATTTCAATGTGGAGGTTGGGTCGATAAGCAGTCATGACGAAACTCTTGAGCCTATCGGGCTGCTCCAAAAGGCCCAGGGTCTTCAGCAAGTCTTGGCGAACGGTGGGATTTGCAGTGGCCGTCAGGCACATGATTGGCACGCTCGGGAACGTCTCTCGAAACCATGATAGCCGCTTAAAGTCCTTGCGGAAATCGTGGCCCCATTCCGAGATGCAATGGGCCTCGTCAACTGCGATGCGTGCCAACTCACACTGTTCATGGACCAGCTTGATGCGTCTCCGGAAGGAGTCGCTCGAACACAGCTCTGGTGTCACGTAGAGCAGCCTTATGCGCGGGTGGCCACTGGCAAGGTCTTGGTTGATGCGGTCCCTCTCGGCGATTGGCGTATTGCTGTTCAAGGAGCTGGCATCGATTCCTGCCGATTGAAGCGCTTCAACCTGATTCATCTAGCGGAGCTGTCAGCTGTCGTGCGTGACTGAGGCTGCATGGGTTACCCCTCACCATGAGACTGAGCAGTGGCGAAACGACGATAGTGACTGGTGGAGTGAAATCACGTTAGTCGACGACGATGCGTGCATACGAGCTCGGGGCAGGCCCTGGTACTTACTCCCATGGTCAATGCAGGCTGGAAGCTGGAAGCAAAGACTCTTGCCAAAGGACGTTGCGGCCTGGACGAATACATCGTGGCCGTCGAGGGCAGTAGCAATGATTTCACGCTGATGGGGCCTGAGAGAGATTTGTCAGAATTGTTGCGATGATTGCGGTACAGTGCAAAGGGGGGTGTGGCGAAGGTTGCGACATGTGTCACGAGTGCTGAGTGCGGGTATCTTGACCTGAACGTTGACTTGTTGAACTGGCGTCTGAGGGTATAGTCTATATCAACGCATGAATTGGAGCGTGATAGAGGAGGCATGGTGACGACGAGTATCGGGGGTTGACGAGGACGTCGTAACGAGACAGTGCCCGGTCCGGATGCGTCGTGGTTGGCCAAGCTTTTCGTCGTGCAGGGCTCCGGGGCATAATGTTGCGCTAGACCGAGATGAGGGCCTGGACGTGATGGTGATGGAGCTCAGGTCCGGAGGCGAACCGCCTTACGTTGGGCCTTGAGGGCCTTGAGGGCCTTGGACAGCCGGCCTGTCCGAACGCCTCAGGCTCGGGAGGCGGAGCACGCGAGGGACAACGTCGGTGCGATTTGAGTATTGCCGAATATGCAAAACCGAGCAGGCGGAGTCACCTAGGGTTGGGCGAGTCTAAGATTTTGACAGATCCAGACCGAGAAGTGGCTGTGTGGTACGGAGAGAGGTAGACCGGGTTCATGGAACGAAGCACAGAACCAATCCACGGCTTGCGGCCTGGGCCTGACCAGTGGACCAATGGAGCGAGAACAGAAGGTTGTTTGTTGCCTGCCCTTCAGGTAGGTAGGTAGGCAGGAGACACCTCAGTACCAGAATGTAGGTACCATTGGGAAGCAACTGGCGGCACGTGAGGTCGGCGACGTCGAAAGTCTCTTATTTACTCCTGCTACAAGGGGCAAGACACAGGAAACAGAAACAGGAGGCAGGAGGCAAAGACGGAGGCGCCAAGTCTGAGTGGGTAGCACACGGGGCAAACAATGCAGGTACGTTAGAAGGGTTAAGGGGAGGACTGGGCGGGCGATTCGAGGAAACGTGGTTGCAAAAAGAAGAGACAAAAGAGAAACAGGTGTATAGCCTTTCTCGACCTTTTTGCAGGCGATGCTGACGACGTTTGCGCAACATGTTGCGAACTAGAGAGCGCTGCGAACACAGAAGTGGGTTTTCGCAGCGGCCTGACGGGCGCTAAGCATATGTACAACTGTTTACGCACTCAAGTCAAGCCAGCGGCAAGATCACGGACAGTGCATTGTGCAGCGGGCGTTGCCCAAACCGCGTGAGCCCATCCTACCGAGGTAAGTACTTTGACGGGCTGACCAGGTATTGTGTACGGAGTAGTCAGTTATGAGCGCCGATTTCAGGCATGCATCGCCGTTAGATGGCCAGGCGACGACGATTCGGTGCCCCGCGTCTGCGGCAATCGGCTCGCCTCTGATCCAGGTAGGCTGAATGAAACTCGAAACGAAGACGAAGATCCCGAGGATATATGATAAGTCTCCGTAGATGCACCCGAACATGGATGGGAACCATGCCTCCGTATACCTACTCGTCCGTCGAGTTTTACCCTTTGGATTGATGCCCGTCGAGGGCCCGACAGGCCATTGGAACACGCGGTCCCAGATCTGCAAATTTCTTCCACTCTCGACTCCAATCAGGGGAGAGGGGGTAGAGATACGGAGTACGGAGTACATGTCTACGAATAAAGGCACACTCCTTTTCTTACACGGCACTTTGCCATTGCTTCCTCAGGTGCTGTGGATTAATACGAACTATCCCGACTCTGTAACACCCTAGCAGCGAACTGGATGTGTTCGTCACCGTTGACTTTGAGCTGCTCTGCCACGCCTCGTTCGCAAAGTTCGTCGCACCACAGAAAGCAACTACGTAGGATGAGCGAAGGGGGAAATATACCATGTGTCGATGGCAACGTGAGGCAAGGCAAGGTAGAGAGAAGCGGGGATGATGCAAGATTAAAAACAATGTAGCGTGGGTAGGTCGATTAGAATGCAACGCTGACAAGGTGGTTTTCAAACCTGCGTTTCCCACGGCGCCATGCCTTTGTTTCTGTTTCTGTTTCTCTCTCTCGTTCTCTCTCGCTCTCTTAGTGGCCAGCCTT